ATAGGACTTTATCCGTAATGTGGCAAAAGTATCATTACAAGAAAGTCGTAGTGTTAAGGGCGTTAAGTAATATGATGAGACAAAAAAGGTCATGTGACAAGAGTAAAGACGAAAAGTAATCTATTGAGGATGTCCAAGAATTAAGATGTAAAATGTAAATGTAAAATATAAAATACACATAGTGACGCAACCAGATATGTAACCGTGTGAAAATAAAGTCGGAATGTTACGAAAAATAAAATTGCAGCATAACGAGAATTATGTGTTGTTGCAACAAAAAGTTGGATGTTATGAATTGCTTTAGGGTCAGAAAGAATATATATATATTTTACGAGAATCTAAAATATGACAAGAAAACATTTGTAATGCAAAAATAAAGCTGTAATATTATGCGAAGTCGTATTGCTACAAAGACAACTTATTACAACGACTAATATTTTCTGAAAGTAAAGGGTTTTTTTTTCAACAAAAGATTGAATGTTATGAGAATGAAGTGAAAATGAATAAAAGCTCACCAAAAAGTTGAAACGTCGGGAATAGCGTATATATGACAATAAAAGTCGTCATATTACATGAATGAAGTCCCTAATGACGAATGATTGTAATTCACACTTTATCTTGGGAACACTGACTTTATTGTGGTCACATTATTGTTTGCAAATGCAATTGGTGGCATGCAGTGAAACCGTTAAAGAACGACGCTGTAATAAAACATCAAACCCACAAGTGCTGCTTCGATGCTTACCTATTTTCTTTCATACATTTTGTATGCCACCCACCCACCCAAGAATAATCTATCGGGAAAAAGGCTCTCCCACCCTTCACCTCAAGCATCACGTATGCGCTCGGCGTGCACCGCAAAAAGAGGCTGAAGGATAAAATGGAGATGGATGCACATGCATACCGAGCAGCACCGATACCACCGTAGCGATCAGCAGCCAGTTCTTCTTCAGCAAGCCTTTGCAACTGATGCGTCGCCGCTCTTTGTAGCCCATCATGTCCATTGTGGTCCACGAAGAAGGTCTCTCCCTTCCTCGCTAGGACACAAAAGCCGGAATGTCACGAGCAGATGAGGCGCTGCAGCGTCGCGTCAAACGCTGCTGATGGCCAGCGACGATGTGAGGGAGGGATATGTGTGGGTGGGGGGGCAGGAAGGATGGAGAGCCCCCCCCCCGCCCCCCTCCACAAGGTGTCACTTGTAATTTCTCCTCTACGTTGGAATTCAGCACAGAAGGGTAGTCGTGATGGAAATCTGGTGGGACACATAAGACAAGAAAAAAAAGGTTTACAGAGAAATAACCGGCAATGTTACGAAGAAAGCAAAACATTTGCGAGGTCAAGGTGTAATTTCGTGTAATGTGAGTCCTACTCTGGGGACAAAATGTTTGGAGATGTATAATATAGTATTACAATTACGATTGTTTTTACTATATTGACCTTTCGGGGGGGGGTGGTAAACAAAAAAGCAGAGAACTAAGCAGATTGTTACTGTTTAGTCAAGCAAAAAGAGCACGCAAACCTAAGGAAATTAGAAAAACGTGACCAAAAGTTATGGTGCAGGAGACTCCGCCCACCACCACTCGCCATGGAGATTGCGACAGAAAGAAAAAAAACCCAAAGCGCCAACAAAACAGGATTGTGACATGAATGTATCGTTTCGATAGGAAAATGTCGTAATATTACGCAGATAAATTTGCAGTTCTAAACAAGATAAAACTCACAATATTATGAGAAAATGTTTACAGTTTCACAAGAATAAATTTGTAATATTACAAGAAACGCTTTTTATAATTTTGCAAGATTGAAGTTGTAATGTTACGAGGAAAAGAAACAATTCATTCGCGAATGTGGATGAATTATGAGACAAAAATGTTGCAATGTTATGAGAGTAAAGATGAGATGAAGAAATTAAATAAAATAGGGTTGTCCTGATCCCGTCATAACTCAGGCCGATCACGTGATTTTTCAGCTGATTGATTTCGGCTGAAAATTTTTTTTTTTTTTAATGTTGTTAATTTTCAAAGTCAAAAATAAAACATGTTAGGTACCTATTTTGAATTTGAACCACTGATAACTTACCGCCACATAAAAACGCATCATCTTGGGATACCTTTATTTAAAAATACTTAATTTGAAGTTTGGATGTGGATTTATTTTGACTTCAAGATGGCGCCGCGTGAGTGGCTGCCTTTCCAGCAGCTCCTATATTTTGTTGTTCTACTTCTTCCATTCATAACTTTGCTGCTGTGAATTGGGAATTTCTCCATTGCGAGACTAATAAAGGTTTTCTTATCTTATCTTATCTTATTTTTCTTTTTAATGCATTGTATTGCAGAGGTACTGATCGGAACTTGGTAACTCTGTAACAATTGACACTCAAAATCAAGTGACGTGAGCTCTTAATTTGAAATGTTTACAATTTTACCATGGGCGTTGTTATTTCGCTTGAAAAAGTCATATTTTCACCAGAATATGACAAGAAAAAAAATGAATATTGTGAGGGAAAAGCCAGTTACGTTTTTAAGTAGACATTTGGGGCTTTCTCTTAAAAGCGGCTCTGCCGATGTATTTTAATTTTAAGGTACAACCGGAAGTGCTTGCTTATCGACTTGTCGCCGCCTTCACTTTGAAGGGAGTGTCAGCCCCTTTTTTATTTTGAAAGCTTATCCGGAAAACTTATTTTACTAACCGACCCAATTCTTTCCCTGGAGTGGTCCTGTAGTGTTAAAGACGTTCTTACTTTAAAAAAATAAAATAAACTCCACTATAGGCCTAGGGGTGGGGGGCAATGACAGCAAGTTAATAGTATAGCAACAGCGAGTCGCAGAATTGCACCCTTTTTGAGCGAGGTGCTGACTGGCTGAGTGCTAGCTGGTTAGCTCACTCGCCACATCAGCGAAGACGTTCTGGAGATAAGACAAGCGTGGCGAGAAGGAAAAAGAAGAAGACGAAGCAGCAGCAGCGCGTATGTGTATATCGGGGGGAGCCGGCCTTCATTAGACCCCGCTACAACGAGCTGGAGAGCTTCCACACACCCCCACGTTCGTCTCTTTCCCGGTGCAGCATCCCGTCGAGATGGGTGAGTCGCTAGTCGCTCAGCTAACTTGCTAGCCTGTCAAACCAGATTACCTTGGATGGTATATTTATTATAGATGACGTAATCGCAGCCCCAATCACAGTTGCTATGTTATTAGCGATGTGGGGGGAGAGGGCGCGGTGGCAGCCTGGCTGTGCTGTGTGTGTGATTAGGATGCTGCATTGCAACGATAGTAAATAGTGTCCTGATTATCCGGAGGCTTGGGTGTGGGCTCCATCCTTTGAAATGGCACCGCCGGCTGCGTTGTAGAATGGTGCAGATGGCACTCCTCCATCTTTACAGCTGTTACGCAACGCAATCCGACTGCATATTACTCCGCTGGAGCATTTCCTTCTTCATTGAGGTCAGGGCTCTCGCAAAGTAGGACCACATACGACCCGACACTTAGGACCAGCAAAGTGTTCTGTGGTGGCAGAAATACCGACCGACAATTTGAATACTAATTCTCATATTTGATCCAACTCTTCATTTTGGAGGGTTTCTCTTGACTACACTGCTTGCAATATGTGGCCGTTGGATTTAGATGTCCAACCAGATTTGTGCCTCTTTGGCCTCCTGCATACAAAGCGACCCACTGAATTGGACAGGCATTAAAAAAAAAAAAGAGAGATTCTCCGACTCACCCTTACACATATATCGTTCGGAAAGCCAGCTGGACAGTATTTTTAATCTTAATTTTCCACAAATCTAATATTCAATGTCATTAAATATTTTGACATCAGCCTTACAGATGCCACATCTGCACCGCAGGCAGTGTGCGATGCGGTCAGAACCGTGAAATACAGCCAACTCTCAACTGAGTGTTTTTGCTTCCAGACAACTTGAGTGACGCCTTGGCGAAGCTGAAACTGGCATCCACAGACAGCGCCTCGGATAGTGTGGAGAGCTGTCTGGACTGCCTGCTGAAAGCGCTGCTCAACAACAGTACGTACGCTTCCGAATGTGCTCACCCAAGCTCTGGCGAAAACCATTAATGGGTGTGGTTCCCACAGACACGGAGGCCAGTGTGAAAATCCAGGAGATGGGCATTCTCCCCCTGCTCTCCACCCTGCTTAACCCCCAGTCATCCTGCACCCCCAAAGTCGCCAATATCATCGCAGAGGTGGCCAAAAACGGTGGGGGTACATCTCCATACAAAAAGACATAGGGCACCGGTGTCAAAGTCAAGGCCCGGGGGCCAGATCTGACCCGCCACATCATTTTATGTGGTCTGTGAAAACAAATCAAGCACGTCAAGTTCCATGATGCTTGCTACAGTCTGAACCGCAATTTCAAATTGTCATATGTAATCCAAAACAACATTCATTATTCTTGCCTTCTGATTTTAAAATTAGTTATCCATCAATTTGTCGTGTGCTCTATGTGTAATATGAGGACGTGATTAAACATTTATATGGTTCCCAAAATTCATAACGGCCCTCCAAGGGAAACCGTAATTACAACGTGGCCCGCAACAAAAATGAGTTTGACACCCCTGACGTAGGGAGTCAGCCATTTTGTTTTGAAGCAGCCATTTTACTGGTATTTTGGACCACATATAGCATGCCACTCAGTTTGAGCCACCCTGGTCTATAAATTGTGTAATGACAGTATTTACCTCTCTAGAGTTCATGCGGACTCCCTGTGTGGAAGCGGGCCTCATCCCTCCGCTCATTCAGCTGTTGAACTCCACCGATCAGGAGATTCTACTGCAGACGGGTCGGGCTCTAGGGAACATCTGTTACGACAGCCGTAAGTAGCTCTGCCGTATGAACGCGGAGTCCCATAAAGGGCCTGATGCTGGTTTTGGGTTTCAGGGCCCAACAGGTTGCTAGCATTATTTGCTTTAGAAGATGTGACATTTGCAAGGGAAAACAGCAGAGCCATTAGTAACGCAGATCGTCTTGATGATGATTTTTATGCAGTTACTCAAAAAAGTCATTTGCTTCAAAACATTAAAACATAGTGCAAAGTTTCTGTGTTTCCTGCAAATACACATGCCATTAGACAGCGATTAATACACTAAATGGTTGTTGATTTATTTATTATTTTTTTTTGTTTCCCGCTTCTTCGAAGGATGTGATTGATACGTAGGGATTTGCCAACTGCTTTTTGGACTTCTTGATGTGTTGTAACGACGGCTTAAAGCACAGCCTGCTGTCGAGCTTTAAATAACCAGCTGTCGGTTCTGGCCCTTTCTGTAGCGGAAAATCTTGCTCATCTGTGGAATTCCGTGGGATGCGGCGTTTGTTTTTCGCTTGATTATGGACTCAGTGGTGGGAGTGTAAAGAAGCATGTCGCTCATCCTTCAGCTGTTTTAAAATGGTGGCGGGGAAAGGCAATCGTGCTGAGGCGTCCTTAGTTTCTTATATGAGCGTTTCAATTGTTAAATATGCATATTTATCACACTAATAATTTAAAGAAAGGATAGTGCACATTTGATGACAAGAATTTGCTCATCACCCGCCGACGTGGAACGGCTGACAAATTGTACAAGCTGAGCAAAGTGAGATTTGCTGAAAGCGACTAGCGAGGCAACGTGAGATACCGCAGCATTCGACAACATCTTCGGAACATTTAAATTGATAAGTATCCTATCATACCCTGCTGCTTATCCTAACCTGTGACAAAAAAAACAAAAAAATAAACCCCTTATTGTTAGTATTATTGCCATTATCATCAGTTTTTGTTAGACGAACATTGCGCAGTAACAGCACGAGAAATTTAAAAAAAAAAAAAAAAAGGTCAACAATTTTCTACAATTTATTTTCTACAATTTTTATTTAGCTGTATTACGCTGCAGGGATAATCTATATAGAACAATACATGACTACACGTGTAACGTTTTGTAAATCGCGTGGTTCTTTTCCTTTTTTTTTTTTTTTTTTTTTCCTTTGTGCTTGATTTGTGTCCCGGCCTCTTTTGTTTTGCAGATGAGGGCAGGAGTGCAGTTGACCTGGCAGGAGGGGCTCAGATAGTAGCCGAACACATTAAAACCCTCTCCCAAAATACAGAGCCGGAAAATGAGAAGCTCTTGACAGTCTTTTGTGGCATGCTGATGAACTATAGCAATGATAATGGTAATGACCGTCAGAACAAATGTCATCTAATACGCCGGTGTTCTCCTTTACGCCATTATAAAAACAAACCAAAACAAAACCAAAAACCGTGAGGGATTTTTCATTCTTCTCATCTTTCTGCCATGCTCTGCTATTTTTCCAGCTTTACCTCTGAAATTAGATCGTCATATATGCTACATAAACGATTGATAATATACCGCATTCTACTCGCGAGGCAATAAAAAAAAAATGGACCTGCGACTCATTTTGGGGCCCTTTGGTGGACAATGTGTTAAAGGTGGACACAATCTTTAATAGTTTCCTTCACCGTGACGATAGTTTTTAACAAAATGTCTTGTGCGATTGTACGTTCCCAACCTCACCCGCTCCCCTCTGTAGATTCCCTCCAAGGCCAGCTGATCAGCATGGGTGTGATCCCCACTCTGGTGAAGCTGCTCGGCATCCATTCCCACAACGCCGCCCTGACGGAAATGTGTCTCATCGCCTTTGGGAATTTAGCTGAGCTCGGTGAGTTTAGCCGCTCAGCCCAAACGCAAGCAGGAAAACTCAAATCCTTCATGCAATTTTGTGGCCTCCATCTGCTCTGGATGTGTCGTTGCAACTTGATTGCATGTAGATAAAACCTCGAGTTCGCTTTTGATTCGTGTTATTCCGCCAGCATTTTTTTTTTTTTTGGCCCTCAATACAGACTCCAGTATCGTTCGAAAAGTCAAATGACGTCAGAGGTATAGAAGTAGCTTGACTCAGCATGCAGTGAACACGCATTAGTTAGTGTCGTGTGGGAGCAAGATGCAAGGCGCTGCGTTCAAAGTTCTGTGCTAGTATCGGTAAATGGGATCGTGCGTTATTTGTTAGTACTCGCCGATACCGACGCCGGCGTTTTCATGCTGTACTGGGCCCCTCCCAATATTAGTAGCGGTATCGGTGAAACGGTGCTTTGGCTGTCACTCTGGAAGTGACCCTAAAATGGCCACTTTGCACCAAAATGACTGAGAGCAGCACCTATGTTGAGAAATTAAAACGTGGGGCCTTACCGGCTGTTATAAATTTGATATTAAAGCGGATGTTAAACTATGCGGGGACGACATCGGTTGCGATTTTTGACGGTGTTGCTGTTGTCCTGTCAAGAGTCGAGCAAGGAGCAGTTTGCCTCCACCAACATCGCTGAGGAGCTGGTGCGCCTTTTCCAGAAGCAAGTGGAGCATGAAAAGAAAGAAATGATATTTGAGGTCCTGGCTCCCCTCGCAGAAAATGGTAATGATGATATATTTTTTTAATCAAACATGATACAAAAACTGGGCTGAAAAAAAACAAAGGGAACAATTCCATTTAATTTGTAGTGCAGCTAATCAATTAATCTATCTTGGTTCACCAGTCTATGCCAGTGATGTATAGTGACAGCAGAGCTATTTACTGTATATAAGTGGTAGTACCCAATGATAATAATATATGTTCATGTTAGACACTCTCTTGACAATTCCTGACTCCTCCTTGCCGTCGCTGCCATCCAGATGCGATCAAGTTGCAGATGGTGGAGGCGGGCCTGGTGGAATGTCTCCTGGAGGTGGTGGCCCAGACTGTGGACGGCAAGCGGGAGGAGGACGTCGCCCAGCTGAAGACGGCCTCTGACCTCATGGTGCTCCTTCTGCTCGGAGGTAAAAACGCCACATTTACATCTGCGTTCCGGCTCCATCCCGGTTAATAATTCTTGACCGTCGATGCAGACGAGTCCATGCAGAAGCTGTTCGAGGGAGGGAAGGGCAGCGTCTTCCAGAGGGTGCTTTCCTGGATCCCATCGCACAACCACCAGTTGCAACTGGCCGGTGCGCTTGCCATTGCTAATTTTGCCCGCAATGGTAAGACCGAATATGCTGCCGGTTTGTCTGATCAGGTTGACAATTCATCCCATCAAGCCATTTTTGACTGTCTCCCCCCCACCCCTCTGAACAGATGGTAACTGCATCCACATGGTGGACACTGGTATCGTACAGAAGCTTTTGGAGCTGTTGGATCGGCACATTGATGAAGGCAATGTCACAGTTCAACACGCAGCTCTCAGTGCTCTTCGGAACCTGGCCATACCTGGTGAGCCCAGTCTTCATCCTCTATATACTACCAGTCAACAGTTTGGACTCGCTCTCTCATACTTGGAACCTGGCCATACCTGGTGAGCCCAGTCTTCATCATGTGTATGTACTACCAGTCAACAGTTTGGACTCTCTCTCTCGTGCTAAGATCCAAACCTTTGACTGGCGCTGAATGTAAACAAATACAGTTCACTAATGTTATGTATTCCGACATATGATTCCACCATGATGACGTCGTGTCATGTCCCACCAGTTGTGAACAAATCCAAGATGCTGTCAGCTGGAGTCGCCGACGTGGTGTTGAAGTTCTTGCAGTCAGAGATGCCGCCGGTGCAGTTTAAACTTCTGGGGACCTTGCGCATGCTAATCGACACACAAGGTAGAAAGAAGCCTTCTCGTCCTTCCCGTCGTAGCATTACAGCGAGCCCCCGAATATCACAGGGGATACAGAACACACTTGTTATAACATCAGAAGCTGTCAAAAAAAAAAAATCCTATAAACTTGTCAATTTTGGTGATGCAATGAGGATTATACACAAAAAACTGCAATATAATGGAGCTCTGAATCTGGCTCATGTTCGTTTCAGTGGAAGCAGCGGACCAGCTTGGGACCAACGGGAAACTGGTGGAGCGGCTGGTGGAGTGGTGTGAAGCCAAAGATCATGCCGGGGTGATGGGCGAGTCCAACAGGCTCCTTTCTGCTCTCATTCGACACAGCAAGTCCAAGGTCTGACAGCCAGTTTGAAGTGGACATTTCTGACTCATTTTAACTGATTGTTACAGATTAGCTTTATTTATTTTTTTTTTTTAATGTACTTTTTCAGGACGTCGTCAGGACAGTCATCCAGGGTGGCGGAGTCAAGCACTTGGTCACCATGGCAACCAGTGAGCACATGATCATGCAGAATGAAGCGCTGGTGGCGCTGGGCCTCATCGCGGCGCTCGATTTGGGTGAGAACGACGACAACAGATGACTTGCGCGCAACTTGAATCGGTCGGCCAAAAAATGAACCGTTCTTAATCATCAATTCACAGCTGCAGCCGAGAAGGACTTTGAGGAAGCGAACCTCGTTGCTGTGCTTCACAAGCTGTTGTCAGATGAGAGGAGCGCGCCGGAGATTAAATACAACTCCATGATCCTCATCTGTGCTGTCATGGGATCCGGTGAGACCCCCCCCCCCCCACACACACACACACATATTGAATGGCACACATTTTTATGGTGAATGCACAAGACAGTGGTTAAAATTTAGCTAATTTAGTAGGCCTAGATGATGATCAATATCCCGCTTTATTTAAAATAGCAGATGTGGTGTTGACAGTTTTTAGCATGGAACATTTGTGTGAGCACCGCGACCTCAAAATGAATTTTTGAAGTGATGGATTTGGAAATGTTAACGGAAGACAAACGGGTTGACAGAGAAGAATTCAATGGCTTCCGCGATCGCATAAATGTTTGTGTTTTAATTCTTCTCATCCTCTGTGGCCAACCTGCGTATTTAAAATGCAAATGCAAAATCAAGCATCGACATTTGCAATGGCTTTAATTAATGGCTTTGGATATTGTCGCCGTCAGGTGGAATCCTTTTAGAATGTCCCAAATCACAACATTTCGGGAAATGGAAAACGCAAACTTCCCTGAGTTACCAAACATAAGCATCATTCAAGTCAGTATTTACTGTATTGACATAATTTCCCGTCCAAACACCGACCCCCAAATCCTATTCAGTTGCTAATTTAATCAGGTACGGTACACATTAACAAAATTGCCTCGTGGATTGCAGTTTGTCACCTGTGAGCTCCACTATCAATCTGTAGGCAACATAATGCCGCATGGCTCCTGCCGAATGAGGACACTTCTCAGATATTGACATCTGGGCAATATGGATGCATTAATGACATGAAAATGGATTCATGTTTACTTTTGTGGATTCGTCGTGTGTTGAAGAAGCGTCGACTCCTCTCTGTTCTCTCAGAGCCCCTCCACAAAGAAATCCAGAGCCGGGCGTTCATCGATGTGGTGTCCAAACTTCGCTCACACGAAAACAAGACAGTGTCCCACCAGGCGTCGCTCACAGAGCAGCGGCTAACCGCCCAGAGCTAAACGGCTCGGTGTGCCGTCAAACAAAACCTCCCCAAACCCCCCGCAGCTGAACGCCCTGCACCTGATCACCCGATGAATGCGCGACCCCTTGTTCTGTAAGCCCATCGTCACGTGCCAAGGTACCATGTTGCATTAACTGCCAGACAGACATCCTCTTGACTCGTGCTAAGGACAGACTGATGTACATCACGGATGGAGAGCCGTCATGAGATTTATTGAGGTGAGGTAGCACATCTCGACGCGTCTGTCTTTCCTCAGCCCATCGACTTGTTCCAGCTGGTGTCGTCACGGTACCAAAATTCTGACTTCGATACCATATCTGTGTAAAGTACCTCGATACTGAAACGATACCATGGCAAAAAAACAAAAAACTTGAGTCGTCACTTTATCATAGATGACAAAATACAGAACTTCCAATTCTTAGTATTTTAATAATTAAAAATATTGGGCAGCGTCATACGTAATTATTAAATTTCGGTATGTTCAATACTACTTTTCTGTGACCGATACCAGTACGAGTATTCACTCTTGAGTACTTACCGATACCAAGTACCAATATGACCAGTACTTTTAAAATATCCCATTCTAAATACACATGACAAATAATTGTGAATGAAATGTTCTTTCTTCCTGGCGTACATGAGGATTTGTCAACGTCTATAACCACTGCAGTCTGGGGCCAAATACAGGTGAAGAGAGGACTGCCTTAATATCTGCGGCTGCTATCGGTTACCTTGATATAAGGCTGGTATCGGACCGAAACCTGGTATCGGTATTCGCCAATCCCAAATAAATATGTACACCGGTAATTTATTTTCATGCTATGTCATGCTGTAGAATAACACAGTACACTGAATTAGCACAGTCCTAAAATTATTATTATTTTTTTAATTGCATCAGATTTATTCAGTGTACTTTCGTTAGGACTTTGTGGATTTCTTTTGCTTTCCGCAGTTGCCATACTTTTGTGTGGCGGCATGGAGGCTACAGTCTATCGCAGCACGTTATTTCAGCTTTCGCTCTGTCCACATCGAAACACATTCATTATTTTAGAGGGGAGACGATTAAACGGCTTGAAGCAAAGAATTTCTTGGTTTTTTTTTTTTTGTTTTTTTGAGAACTGTTTACAGAGGCAGCGGTAGTAAAATGCAGTGGCATTGTTTTCATTTTTGATGGTGAAGTATCGCAGTACTTTTGTAGTACCGGTACACCATTCAAGCGTCGTGCATGCAACTTTTGCAGCACTCTTAGAATGAGCATAAACCGTGACGCCAGCTGCCATGTTAAATCCCACAGTGTCATTCTGTTGTGGTGCATGTTTTGTTTTGTTTTGGCCAGTTTACCTCTGAGGCAGAGAGGCATCCATTTTCAGTAAATAGATTTTTTAAAAATAGATTTTCATTGTTTTTAGAATTGCCTGGTTTGTGTCTTTTTTTGTATTATATTTTTTTTTCATTTTATTGATCCAGTATGTGTTTGATCTGCTGATATCGGGTCTACAGATTTATGGAGAAAGTCAGAACAAAAGAGTGAGGCACCTTTCATTAGTCATGTCTCATTCACCAAGAAAATTACCGCTTTACCTCATGATCGGCTGTTTATCTACTTAACTGCAGAGTAACAGGCATGTGTGGCGGGAATCCTTTTACACAGATCCGGCTACAATAAGGCAGGATATTGACATTTGGTTGGCATGTGTGTCAAACGTCTCAAAATCCCCCGTCTGAAAACACATAGGAAGTCAGCCATTTTAACTCGAAACAGCCATTTTCGGCTGTTCCAGGAGTCCTTCGGGGATGAAACATGTTCTTGAGATTTTGTTACGCATTAGACTAAACTGCACAAAATTTGCGTTTTCATCATTGCGTGGGGTCAGCTTTACAGATGCCATGTCTGCTCTAGGCATCTGGGCTAAAAAAAATAAATGCACCCCCCCTTTGTCTGTGTCAGTGCTGCTTTACTCTACATAAAATAAATTGGGGTTTCTATTGGAGGCCACTTATTTGAAATGACAGTTTATGTTCAGGACATAGTAAATGTAAATACACATCATAGTTTTGTGAGTGGTTTACCCCCGCCCATGTCACTGGTGCATTGTCAAAAACCTGTTGAGATATTATAACAATATTCATTGGGAGCACACATACACACACAAAAAAAGAACACTTAGCAGTGAATAAAAGCGCAGCTAGCGTCGGTAATTAAATGCACATCAGTGAAGAAATGCATGAGCCGCCACCCCAATGGATCTCTTGAAGATTGCTTTGTCTTATCACATCGCATATACTGTAAATCTCGGCATGTCCCAATCTGTAACAATTTTTTTTTAAGTATGAGTGGTTATTTATCAGATGTGCTCTTAAATGAGTTGTATCCATAGCAACAGCATAAAAGTACTATAAACGTAAATGTTTGTTGTAAATGTCAAAAAAGTTGTACATTTGGAAGACTGTAACAGAAGATAATTAAAAGCTGATAGCTAGCAGAGGCTCACTGTCTGTTTTTTTTTTAAGAGGAATGCAATACAATCCCCATTTCAAAGTCCCTTCACACAATCTTGGTCAATATTTGAGTCATTTATTTTAAACCCGGCCCCATTTTCAAGGTAATAAATGAGACCATATTATAAATAATACTTTTGTGGAAAATAGTGTGACCTAAAACAACCCAAGGTACAGTGGCCAGTGATGAGTATTTTACACACACATGAATCATATCAAATATCAAATGCCTTTTTTTTTTTTTTTTAAAGAGCAAGTCAATTGGGTTCATAAAAACCAAATACATACAAGATGCTTTTGTCAGGTTTTGATTCAAGTGCAGAAACATACAGTATACCATGAATGAGTGGCAAATACATATTAAATGAATTAAAACGGGACGGCTCCTGCCGCATAACCAAAACTTAGCAATCTTTGCTGACACAATAGTGCATTAAACACCTTCCAAAAACTACATACTTGGACCCCAAACCCTTCACAGCACTGATGACCTCAAATGACAGGTTGGGACTAATAAAAAACAAGTGTCACAAAATTCTGTACCCTCAAACAACTCATGTGAAATGTTACGTGAATTATCAATAGTAAAGGAACGTGTTTTTTTTTTTTTTTATGGACAAAATTCCCACCCTCAAACGGTTCATGGTTTAAGTAAAAAGTCACATAAAACATTGTACAGTAAATAGGATATTTTTGATGGCTGAAGTTATACTAAAACCAAAGTCCACTGCAGTGGTTCTCAACTGTTGCCACTCTGGGACCCGCATCTTCCTGCTGTTATAAGGTCACGACCCACTTTTATGGAAGTTAAGAACAATCAAGCATTTTTTGGGTGAGTGGTGGAAGGGAAATGCCATTGACAATACATATACTGTACAATGTTATATTTTTAAACGCTGTTTCAAATGAATTTAGTGTATTGCTAGCTATGACGCCTGTGAGCCAAAGGCTGTGCTCGCATAGCATGTATTGTAAACTCGCAACTTGAGTAGCTCCGTCACTTACCAAATAAATTGTAACAAGTTCCATGTGGGAAGTTTCATATTGTGCCCAAAAAATTAGAATACGAATATCACTGCGTTTTTTTACTAGCTGTCTGCAAGGCGCTTTTGGGTCAAGAACAACCAGTTGAGAATCACTGGTCTAATGGATCATATGTCCCGCAAACAAATTATGCAAAATGCTGTTCTATTGTTAAAGGTATTTATCAAAACCAGTTATTTGAATCCCCCCCCCCCCAAAAAAAATCAACAGGTAAGCAATGTATTACCCATGTTAGCTCACAACGCTAACGCTACTCTACTAACGCCGGGCCGGGTTACTAGCCATCGGCGCTAGCTAGCTTAACATGGTAAGCTAACGAGGCTATCTCCTGGTTGCCCACATTTAAATGATCTTATTGCTCTTTTTAATGACTGTAATGGTAAACAGACAACTAGCCAACGTTACGGGAACAGTGTCTCAACTACAACAGTAACCTAAAGACGGGCAGTGTTTTTCTTTTTACATGTATATACTGTACATACATCATCTTTTTTCACACAGTAGTAGTGCCTTAAAAAGGTGCTGGCTCGGTGAGTAGTGCAGGTGGATGTCCCCCTCATTGACGTCCTCACAGGAGGGGTGGGGGGGCTCAAGTCCTGCAGCCGACTCGTCAAAATCCACTAGACCAAAATCAAGAGAAAACATATCAAATTAGGTTGTTTTGTGAGCTGGGGATACTTAATCATCCTTTTTGGGGGGTATGCTTGTCATTGGCAAGAATATGACAAAATGACCAAGGCAATGGGGAAACATGAGGAAGTACCCAAGTAGAAAGCAAGCCAAGACATCACAATGTACAGTACTTAAGCAATGTCACAAAAAAGAGACAAAGCACTGATGCTAACGCTAACGCAAGGAATGTCCTGGTTGCTCCACCGATCAGGCTCATGACTAAGTGCAAATTATTGTAAATAATTCACATCAAGCCAACCAACACCCACCGGATACAAACACACATAGCATGTGCCTCACGAGTAGTACGCCAGAGTGTTCTTGCCAGAGTTTGGCGGGGGTCGACGTATGGAGAGTTGGGGGGGCACCCTGATGAAGCATGTGAAAGGGGTGGGGGGCGGGGGGTGAGAAAGAGGGATGAAGTGACTTCCTGTATTGCCTCCTTGGAACCTCTGAAGTCAAATTGGTTCTCAAACCAACCAGAGAACAGGAAATACGTTTCGCATGGAATTTGAGCCAGATGTTTACGATAAAAATAAACATGAGGATGACCACAGAACAGGAGAAGGAAACTTAATCGCAAAGATGGAATCGGATGCAATCGGACAAATGTAACGATGGTATTCAACTTAAGAGGTTCCACCGCATCCTGCTCTCGTAGCAAAACGGAAGCTACGATGTGTCGAGATGAATTCGGACCGATGAGGAAAAACAAACGCCAATGGCGTCGAGGATCATTTCCTTACCAGCTTGCGCGCACTGCTTCAATGTCACTCACTAAATTCTGCGCCAAACATATTCCAAAGATCTGCGGACAGCAAATGACCAACTCTTTTAATGAAGGACGTCAAATTAGCCCAGAGTGAAATAATAGCGAGACTGACCTGCAGCAACGCCACGCCAATGAATATCCCCGCCACTAAGGTGAGGTTGTCCTGCAGCCACTTCTCAAACTGCGGCACGCAGCCTTTCACGTTGATGTAATCCTTCTGCTCCGAGTCCTGCGCAACGCAAACAAATTGGCCACTTGCAATCTCGAATCGTCACATTGAAAATCATCATCAAACAACACGTCCGTGGAAGATGACGGAAGCCTACTCAGGAATAGTCGGAAATGCTGCTGCTAGCATTTAGGCGTTGATCGGTACGTGATCGGTAATCTTAATGACACACTTACTGGTTTTGCTCGAATGTCATATCCGCATTGAGTGTTTATTACATCCTCCTGAAGACCACTTGCAATCTCGAATCGTCACATTGAAAATCATCATCAAACAACACGTCCGTGGAAGATGACGGAAGCCTACTCAGGAATAGTCGGAAATGCTGCTGCTAGCATTTAGGCGTTGATCGGTACGTGATCGGTAATCTTAATGACACACTTACTGGTTTTGCTCGAATGTCATATCCGCATTGAGTGTTTATTACATCCTCCTGAAGAAAAAAAAAAAAAAAGTCATCATCTTGTTTCAGAAGATTGAAATAACAACAAAGTGTCCATATGGGCGAGATGTCTTTGCACGTACTGCGGGGTCCTTGGTGCAGCAGGAGAAGGGAACGCCGCACTTTTCCCGACTGGGGTTTCCATCGGTGCAGTTAAAGTAGATGTTGAGGTTCCAGTCGTCCGCTCCAAAGGCGCCGCAGCACTCCCACTGAAACGCGGAGATGGCAAAGAAAAACATGTTGCATTATTTAGAGTGCCTATTTTAGGCACGCTATATGCAGATGGATAGGGAAATAAAGCAGTCAAATGGGTCATGAAAAAAATTCATTCATTTTCCGATCCGCTTATCCTCACGAGGGTCGCGGCGGGTGCTGGAGCCTATCTCAGCTGTCTTCGGGCAGTAGGCGGGGGACACCCTGAACCGGTTGCCAGCTAATCGCAGGGCACAGAGAGACTAACAACCATACATGCTCTCACTTACACCTAGGGACAATTTAGAGTGTTCAATCAGCCTGCAATGCATGTTGTTGGAATGTGGGAGGAAACCGGAGTACCCACAGAAAAGCCACATGGGCATGGGGAGAACATGCAAACTCCACACAGAAAGGCCGGAGCCGGAGATCGAACCCACACGACCTCTGCACTGTGAGCTCGACCACCGCGCCGCCCCCATTAAAGAAATGACAGCTTTAATCTTGCACGTGGTGAAAACATTCAATAACATCATAAAACAGAACAGGGATGGGCAACTGGTGGTGTGCCAACTTACTGTGGGTGGCCCCTTAAAAAAAAAAAAGTGAAAATAAATTAAACGATCAACACTCAAAATGTTTTCCATAAAAAATGAGGAAAATTGCGGAAAAAATCCTCCATATGAAAAAATATATTACAAAAAAAAAAAAAAAATCTGTGAGAATGTGGTTCCCCGGCTGCCGAGCTGTGCGTACGCATAAGTCGACTCTAGTTATAAGTTGTAATATCTCCAATCACCAGACGTGTCTTACTTATGCTTGCTCTTGGTCTTATGCTGCCCGATACTACTACGTGAGAAGCCTGAATATTTTGCGGCAGATTTGGAATGATATGTAGGACAAACATAATAACGTTTAAAAAAAAATTTGCGCGTTTATTTTTGTGGAAAAAAAAAATATTGCACTAAATGTTGGTTTCTTGTTCAGCAACACAGATTTTTATATAAACATTGAGTGTACAATTTGAGCTTACATATTCCTGAGTGAAATCAATTAGGTTCTGCAGGTCGATATCGTCCCGGTAAGCCCGGATGTTGTTGTTGATGAACAGGTTCAACTGGTCCTTGATCCAGTCCTTGAAGACGAAAGCCAGGATGCCGGTGGTCAGCTCCAGGAAAAATATGATTCCCAGGAACACCGAGAACTGCGGGAGAAAAACGATTTCAGCCACGCGGGTCAGAGCGCCGTACACGCTCGGGTGACAGTTATCGTTCATGACTGAATGAATGGAGGTGAGTGCTTGCTCATTGCGCGCAACATACAAATTTGAGCAGGAAGGTGTTTTCCCGCAGCGCTCCGATGCATCCGGCAAAGCCCAGGATGAACATGACCCCACCGACCACCATGAAGAGCCACACCGGGTCGAGACCACCCAAGTCCGTGATGGACGAAATGTTGGACAGAACTCCCTGGAAGAGACACACAGCATTACGCGTCACGAAGCGAGAAATACAGGAGGGATAAGTGAAGTCAGCTAACAATTTTACGTCAGAATACTTCTTGGTAAATCCAAAATCCATTTTCCCCAATTCATCAACTGATTCTACAAAATTATCGAGATTAATCGATAATTAAAGTAATCGTGAGTTGCTGCACTAATTTCCACTCACCTTCTCACTCCATGCCCACAAGCCAATTCCAACCAAAGCCATGCCCAGCAGCTGCAAAACAAGGGGAAAAAATGATATCAGCCAACAATTAACTGCCATGGCAGTAAAATAGCTTTGTCAGTCCCCGAAAAGATGGAAAGGCTGCTGAAAGTGAAAGTAAGCAAAACATAGGTAAATATATAAAATAGAAACACTAGTTTGGAAAGTGACTTGCAGCTTTCCACAAAACGTGTGCTTGATGTCTTTGTAAGGCTGACGGTGAAGGACACCAACAAGCCGATTAGCAGCTGTCATACAGCTTTTGGTACTGCACCAGCAGGGCTCCATTCCGTTATTTTGGGAGCAAAACGCGTCATTTAATGCTATTTGGATGAATCCTGAATAGAATCGGAACAGATGTGCCGGCCTTCTCGCTTACCCAAAAGAGGATGTTGAATCCAAAAATGAAGTATTTGATGCAGCAGCTGACTTCGTGGCCTTTGTAGTGATTCCCTGACATGTTTGCTCATCATCAACTGCTAGATCGACAGAAAAAGGAAAAAAAAATGAAGAAAAGAAAAACAATAAAGGAAATCGCGTCCAACACAATTGAAAACAAAAACACGGGCGGGCCTGCTTCAGGGGCTTTGTGGAGCGGGTTCAGAAAGCACTCCGCGGACGCATCTTGTCACAATATCCTCTCGTTGAAATGTCCTCAAAATCTTTGCCTGGCCAATTTAAAGGCATGACGAGGCGCTCACTTGGCACGTATGTATGCCGCAATTCCAATCTAAGGAGCGCTTCAGTCCGGTTTTCGCTTTGAAGTCAAAGAAGCTTTCCTTTGCTTTGCAATCGTGTGTCCTCCGGAAGGCGGAACCCCCGAGGCAGGTGCTGTGATCTCATTGGCCAACGGCAACATTGAAGGACACTACTCCGAACCAATCAGAACCCAGGAAAAATGGCATTTCCGGTGCAGCATGTCCTCATTTCCTGTTAAAACATGAATACTTAGTAGTAACCACAGCTTCATACAAAGTGATGTACATAAAGTAAAAAATATAAAATAAGGAGAGTTAAATCAGTAAATTGATCAAACAAAACATTTGTGTTTTTTGTTATTGTAAAGTGTCCTTGGGTGTCTTGAAAGGCGCTGATAAATAAAATGTATTATTATTATTATTATTATTATTATTAAACATAAAACGGTAAAACGAAGTCGGGACTCATGCTGACTCGAACGCCAAAGAATAACAAACGTGGGACTGTGGGGCGAGACCATTTAAAGACAAATCAAAGATTCTTCAAATGAACACTAAAAAGTTCAGGCAGTCAGCGAAAGAAAAAGAGGCGCATTACAATAAATGTTACAGCCAAGATGTAACAAAGGCAGCTGTTTCTAAGTGCTGTTGTGAAAGGAAAGGCTTTTCATTAGCCACCTGACGAAGATGACTGAATGAATGAATAAATAAATAAATAATATCCATCCATCCATTTTCAAATCTGTTTATCCTCACAAGGGTTGCGGGCATGCTGGAGCCTATCCAGCTGTCTTGGTCAGTGGGCAGGGTACAACAACAACAACAACAACAACAACAACAACAACAGCGCAAATTTGCTGGTTCAATTAAAAATCACTGTTCAATTTAAATTCCCAATTCAAAACTAAAATGTACTGATACAGTATACGATATGGCGAGTGAACGCACACGCTAAATTAGGCAAAATAGACGTCACGAACTCGGTTTTATTATGAAGGTCCTAACCGGACGTTGGGATTGCTGCTCCGATACAAGACCGCTGGATGGGAGCGCAGGGAGGCGGGGCGGACCGGGGCCCGCTGACGCCACAACCAAATAACGGGACGGTAGGGCGGGCGTTTTCTTTTTGGTCCGGCGTCGGACTTTTCACGGTTGAGTCGAGTGGTAAAAAAGGCGCAGTTGCGTGCTGAGCAAAAATAACAGCAACAAACCTTATTCGGGAATGAAATGAAAGACTAATAACGACGAGCTAGCCAGACAAGGGAGAGCAAGTGGACGACGAGGCCACTCCATTGGGGGATTTAAAAGTGAAGCCACACAGGAGGTTCTTTGTCCAAAAAGGGTGAGTTGCGTATCCAAAGATACCATATAGAACATAAAAATGGATAAACAACATGAATATTTTCTCATTAGCACAAAACGCATTCATATGAGTCAGTTTTCTCCTCCTCCGCTGAAGTCCGCACACCTGAAATTAAGCTAATTAAACATCGACAACAATAAACCTTTTTCCATAATGTCTAACAATTTATTGGCACGTTTTAAATCAACACCAGTACGTGGACTTGGTTATTTTGCAGAGTCCTCTGGCTGTCTACAAATAGAGAGCGATGTGAAACAAAGTGCAGCATCAAGTAATGGCTTAGTCATGACAGTTGTAGCTTAGCTCCCACCACCAACGTTAGCGGGCCAACATTCAACTGGAGAATGAGGAAGGCTCGCGCAAATGGCACATTTGCGTGGGCCGTGCCGTTGTGACGTGTTTGCAGCGTGGACTTTTTTTTTTTTTGGGTGGCAATGGGGATGATGCGGCTGTTACACTGACTCAGGCCCCCCGTGGCAAACACGGACTAGGCCTCAAGCATCAATAGTTGAAATACGAGATAAATCGTCAACATTTTTTTTTAACTTGAGTCCCAGTCACTTAATTGATCCTGAGGAACTACAATGCATTGGGGGGTGTGGGGGACATCCAAATTGTCTTATTTGTCCTCATTTGGTTTAAATTAAAAAAAAGATCCCAGTGTTATTCAATTAATACGACAGTAAGTCTAATGCAATCTAGTGCCTGTCTGTTTACTTAATTGGCTGAACTACAGAATACAGTTTGTTTTTTTTTTGACAAAAGGCTTTTATTTTGGAGGAGGACCTTTATTTTGTACTGTCTTGTGTATGCTAGACTCTTTACGCTGAGGAAAAGGGTGTCTATTTGAGGTGAGGTATTTCTTCAAGTGATTATTTGGTGCACAGCACCTAATATTAGATTGTTAGGTATTTTTTTAACAACTGATAATTTGACAATATTCCACACAATACTATAAATCTGACTCACTTCACAGAACAATTATGGATTGACAGCATTTCTGAACAACAGCTCTTGTTTATTTTTCAGCACAACTCACAATCTTTTTTTGACTGTTGTCAGTTTTGTCAACCCCAAATCATTTCCAAGCTAGGAAGGTGGAAGTTTTTCTTGTTATTAAAATACTCGCTAACACGGAGACTCCTCTTTTTCTACAATTCTTCAATTCATCACTTCCTCCTACTTTGGATCAGTGGACCCCATTGTGTTTTCTTTTGGGAGGAGACAGTATACTCTCAAATTTTAGTGGGGGTGAGTGGGGGGGAATGGTATACTCTCGAATGTAAAATGACACCTCGTGAGAGCAGGGCTGATGATATATATCGCCCACCTTTAGGTGGAGACCACTATATCAGGCATACCGTTCATGTTTGTTTGAAGCAACTACTGCAAAATTAAGACCACCTGCATGTTACAAGATCTTTTAAGGCTGGCTAAATTGACAAGACTATTACTTGAAATAAGGCATTTATTTTGGAGGAGGCTTGTGTATGATAACGACTGACATATTTTTCTTGAGGGGCAAGAAAAGTATGTATCGCACCTAAGGCATTTCTTTCAGTGCACACGCAGATTGTTTAGGACTGGGGGTCTACTTGAGTGATGAACTCATAATCCCCCGGTGGTAATATTGTGAAGACGCCGTTTTCAAAATGTGTGATCGTGTGGCTCCACAGCGGACATGGCGGATGCAGAGCTGGACTTCCAGACGGGCGACGCGGGCGCGTCAGCCACCTACCCCATGCAGTGCTCGGCCCTGCGTAAGAACGGCCACGTTGTGCTTAAAGGCCGCCCCTGCAAGATTATGGAGATGTCCACCTCCAAGACGGGCAAGCACGGTCACGCCAAGGTGGGTACCCACACCCTGCACCCGATCCAGCAGTCGCCATTCAAAGCCAAAACCGAGTTTTGATGGCTTCCGCAGGTCCACCTGGTTGGCATTGACATCTTCTCCGGGAAGAAATACGAAGATATCTGCCCTTCCACTCACAACATGGACGTCCCAAACATCAAGAGGGTGGACTACCAAGTGAGACTTTGCAAACAGCGCCAGTTGCCAGACCCAAATTTTCACACACCTCCCTTTGCTCTCTCCTAGCTGATCGGGATCCAAGATGGCTACCTGTCCCTGCTCCAGGACAGCGGGGAGGTGAGAGAGGACCTGAAGATCCCGGAGGGCGAACTAGGCAAAGAGATTGAGAGCAAAAATGAAGCCGGGGAAGAGATCCTGGTCAGTATTTACCAAGGTCATTGTCGTTAATGAAAAGTCATGAAAGAACTCAAAAAATATTGAAAATGCATTTTTTTTTGTTCACAAGATAAATACTGAAATTCTTTAAAAAAAAAAAAAAATTAAAAAACACAAACTACATCTTACATTTATGAGACTAAAATGAACCGTAATTTTAGTGACAATTCATCATATCATACATGAGCTTTCGAGGTTCATTGCAAATGAATAACATATCATATATTGCAAACTATAAGCTAAACTAAAACAAAGCATATTAAATAAATACATAAAAAAATGAACAAACCGACTCCAAAAACGAATACAGTGATCCCTCGCTATATCACACGTCATTTATCGCGGCTTCACGACATCGCGTTTTTTTTTTCCAAAGTACGCTATTCAGAAAAGAATGCCGAATGACTCAAAAGAGTTTTTGTACATGACTGTACGCATCAACAGTTCCCGCCGTGACGTCGACCAATGACGGCACGAGTGGATTCATCCCGTGAGCTGATTGGCTGTGCATCTTCGCAGCCCCGCCCAGCAACCTCCCTCGTGTCTCATCATGTGGTTTACTCTCTGATCAGTATCTCAAGTCAAGTCAGCTTTTATTGTCAAATATGCTCTATGTGGAACATACAGCACAGATGAAATTATTTTCCTCTCTCAACCACAGTGCAAACATGTAGTGCATAGAACACACACAGCTAAAATTTATGTTAAAATTCCATAATACATAAATATATAAAAATTTAAATAAAAATAAATCTACAAATATGCTGTTGTGTTTGCTACATATTTAAAACATACTGGTACCCACATACTTACACAAAACTTCCTAGGGGGGGAGCCAAACCTCCTTCGCAGTTTTTCACTTCTCGTGGCAGGGTCCCGGTCCCCATCACCGTGATAAGTGAGGGATCACTGTCAAGACTAACAGACCTTAAAAAAAAAAAAAAAAAGAAATAAAAAGTACTATGGAATAGTCAGAGCTATAAACCCTTTCAGGGACAGCGGTTACTACTAGCTTATCGTGTTACCAGTTTACAGGGTGCATGAAAGGGTTAAATAAAACCTTGGTATTTACTCGACGCCATTAAGTGCTTGCTGTTTATTTGAAGTTGAAGCAGTTGTACCATAGTCAAGTCAAGTACAACTTTATTGTCAAATGCGCTGTATGTGCAACATAGACTGTGTATAACCTCAGTGGGTGCCACTCAGAGTATACACAGTTAGGGAATGTCATGTTTTTTGGGTGAGGTGCCCCATGGAGATGTCACGTTTGAGGCAAGGCATTGACTTTTGTTGCAGGTGACCGTTCTCAACGCAATGGATGAAGAAGCAGCCATCGGCATCAAAGCTTTGGGGAAATAAGCGGCAGCAAGGTAAACACAAGAACATACACATATGAGATCCATTTTGCATTTTAGTCATGTCTTTCTTTAGGGCATGGCAACAGAAAAACTCTTTGTTTTCCTTCTGGTTTCTGACTGTTCTTTCCCTTTATTCTCTTTCGTCTTTTCTTCTTGCAACTGTGTTACAGGGGCTGCCGGACGTTGGGGGGTTGGGGGGGGTGTTGAGGAGGAAATGTTGCTATCCTCCTTTCATTCTTTTTCATTGCTCTCCCTCTGTTCTGTACTAAAGAGCACGGGTTTCTAATGTTTATTATTGTATATTATGAGCATCTTCGGTGAAGCGTCCCCAATCCAGTAAAACACAAAGAGTTTGGGGAAGGCGAGAGTTCAAAGTGGCGTGAATGCTACTCTATTTTTATTTGACTGTATTTTTTACTTGTTCCCCTGTTTTGTCAAAGGGCTTCATTGCAAAAATAATGGCGGCTTTCAGTACATTGGGGTTTCCTCATATTAAGCGCGGCCATATTCATTTCCCGCCCGTGTTTATTTTCCAAACGCTCGTCACAGCAAGTCCAATTAAAACGGAGGTTACCAACAAGTTGATTTCTTGCAATTGAGTGTTGATTCGACTCATTTACTGGAGCACAACACTGGCCATTGAAACAGAGTTGAGAATGTTGCTGAATTTTTGTTTGTGATTACAAATTTAAAAAAAAAAAAAATCATAATCATGTATTAATAGATGAATCGGTGCATTTTGGGGGGAAATTAAATTGGGGGTTTATTAAAAGCAAATTGCAACAAAAAAAACTCCTGTAAACATCAACACAATTAACAGGTTTTCCCTGTCATTAGTTATCACAATTTCTGGGGGTGGTTAATGTGCGTTATTGATCATGATTAAGAAATTGTGAGCTAAAAATGTATTCACTGATCAATTGGGAGGCATTTTCGGGGTAAGTTATCTCCGTAAAAGTAAATTAAACAAAACCTTTGTAAATAAATAAATCGCAATGTTTTAAAATTATCAACAAACTCATTGTTTATCCGAAATAAAACATCACAAATTAATCCTGCAATTCTCTCCATATTTACCCCCCCCCCCAAAAAAATATATATTTGTATGAAAAAACTTGATCATTAATAGTCTGTCAATGAAAAGGTTTTTTTTTTTAAATGTCTAAAACAAATGCAAAAAGTCTATTGAACAAAAAAATTGATGCATTGATCTATAGTGAATCAAGAAACTAAATACTAGCTCAGGGACTTGCTCATTTTATTATGCAACATATAGTGGAAGCTGTAATAGGAATTTCTCATAACAGAAACTGTACATAAACTTAAAGAAGACAAGGATGGAGGAGGGCTCTAGGATTTCTCCTGCAGGAGAAATCACACGCGACTGACATGTCAAAAACGAGAGCAGAAACTCCGAATGTTGAGACGAGGTGGGGAAGATGGCGGGACCTAGAACGAGTCACTTGGCGTGGTGGTAAAACCTCTGGCCACTCTGGGCGTGGGGCAGGAAGCCGTGGCGCGGCGCGGCCTGCGGTGAAGTCTGGAATGCAGCCTAGGCGACAACAGAGAGGGGGCGCGTCATGTCACCAGTTAGTCAAGCGGACGGCTCGCCGCAGGGGCGGTGTGTTAACCTTTGCTGCGGGAATCTGGACGGCCATGGATGGTGTGGGCAGCAATCCTTGAGCCGAAGGATGCATGGCGGGCGGGTGCATTGGCCTCAGGGCGCCCTGCGGGACAAGCGCAAACGAAAGGTTATTTGGGCCGCCGTTTCCACCGGCGAAAAGCGGCTACGTACCGTGTCTGTAAAGCCCGACTGCTGATTGGCGTGTTCCAGCTGTTTCTGGAGCGGGATGCCGGCACCTGGGATGTAGCCTGACAAGTAACAGTCAGTCAAATTAACTACTCAGCCCATCATACACCTTCATCCTTGTCTTTGTGTGTGTGTTGGGGGGTGGGGGAGAGGGGTCTCTCGCCGATGTATAAACTAAAATCAAATAGAACAAAACACCTCAAATCATAATTTCTGGGGATACTTAATGTCAAGTTTTATCCATAACGATGTGAAAAAGCTGCATAGTAATATGGAGCAGTGTAAGAGCTGGTCTTACACTGCCCCATACTACTACGCAGATCAACTAAGACATGTCTGTCATCTAGTGGTGAATGGTGGTATTGCAACATAAAACTAGTCGACCCCTGCGTACTCACGGTTCGCATTTTTTTTTCAAATATACCCCCCATTTTTTGTATTTAATCGAAAACAATGAATGTTTATCTTTTTTTTGGGGCGGGGTGAATTAAGGGGGCAAATATTTGTTGTATTTTCTGGGGTTTGTTGATAAATATCATGCATTATTAATTATGAATAATATCATTAGGTCGTTTGCTCATTGAAATTAAGAGATTATTAGAGACTCCATTATTTTAAACACCCCCCACCTCAAAATGTACACACCATTTAAATCAAACAAAATCATATAACAAAAATACACTCCTACTACTTAAACACCATCAAAGATTTTTTTGTCTAAAAATAACAGTAAAAACGACATTTAATAAAACAATAAAGCACTAATTTATACTTGTACAATAACTTTACGCCATGGTGAAGACATTTTAAGTTAGTTACATTTGTGGGGATTGTTAATAAATATGCATTATCATTTCTAGCTATTTTGGAAAAAAAAAATTGCAAGGCATTTGGGGGAAATAAGGAATTTTTAAAAAGACACTTCTATGTCTGGAAACTGACCAGGCTGGGAGGTGAAGTGATTGTGGACCGGGTAGGCAGGCTGCTGGTGGGGGAGATACTGCATGGCCTGAAATGCGGATGCTCCTGGAGGGGCGAGAAGAAAAAGCCACACACTTGCAAAAACCGCCTCCACGAAGCATTCTGCACCCCGTACGTGGCTGTACCTCGGATCTGGGAGCCGCCGGCGAAGCTGACCGGCACGGACGGTCCGGGAGCATAGGTGGCGGGATGTTGGGCCTGCGCCACCCCGTAGGACTCGTGGACCCCCTGGGCACCGCTGAACTGGCCGTGCTCCGCCGAACCTGAACTGAACGCCGGCGTCTGGTAGTGACGCGTCTATTCAAAGAAAAGGACATGGGCATGACTCGGACATCCATTTCTTGTAACTGATGCACAACGATCTGAAGTGTTTTGCAAGTTGTGCAAAACGTTTCACAGACACACAAGAGCACTGTGTCAAAGTCAAGGCCCGTGGGCCAGATCCGGCCCCCCACGTCATTTTATGTGGCCCGCGGTAGCAAATGATTTGTGTCAACTATCATGACTCTTGCTCTAATCTGTACCGAAATGTCCAATTGTCATGGGGATAATAAATAATGAGATTTTCCACCGGACGTAACTCCGAAATGGCCCGCGACAAAAAATGGGTTTGACACCCCTGCATTAAGAGCAACATCAGCAAAACATCCTATCCGTCAGACATTCAAAATAACAGCAATAGTATCAAAACAGTTTCACTACACTTTGACGTGGTGGCTTACTTAACAGTCACACTCAATAAGCATACTCAACCGATTTTGAATATTGAATAGACATACTAGTTGCATGCTTTTATTTTGAAGGCCTTACTGTTGATGTTATGCTGATGTTGCCGAGCTGATTGGGAGGCTCACGCTGCTCAAAGGAAAATTTTCATCCGAGGTGACATTGTGTCCCTTGATATATTTTTTTTTTACACTGACTTTGAAAATGCCTTTACGTTTTCTTCCCCCAGGACGCCAGGTTTAAGTTTGACCGATAAAATCTTACACAATACGGATTTTACCATGCATTTGAATTCATTGCCATGACGATACAGGATTCTCATGGCAACCATTTGATCAAGAAATTGAGATCAAAATCACTCTCAGGTGATTAGGGAGTAGAGAATGCTGAATGATGAATTCCCGACTCCCTGATCATGAAATGGGAGGAGCCAAGTTTCCAAACAGAATTTTGTCAAAGACAGCGGCAGCTACTTACAGGAAGAACAGCGCTCTGGAAAAGCTGCTTGCTCCGATCTCCGAGCAGCGCACCGGTTCGACTGTGGCTGACGGGACTGCCTGATGGATGAGATGGGCAATTTTGGAAACGGATTTGAAAGGTCACGTTATCACATTCATAATACTGTAATAAAGATTCACATTGATTTGTCGTAACGTGGTTCCAGGGTTGTCCCGCGTGCGACTCACCCTGAATGTTGAGGAGGTGCTGGCCCGCGTGCATGGGTAGACTGGCCTGGTAGCTGGCCGACGTCAACGTGGTGATGTCGCTGAAAAGGACAGGAAGTGAGCAAATGGCGCGTGGGCAAAGAGGCTTCGCCTCGGGCGTCAGGTAAGCGGGGCCCACCTCTGCTCCTTGCGGCGTCTTTTCTCCTCTTCGTGGAGTACTTTCTTGAGTTGTAAAAAGAGCTGATGTTTCTCCTCTTGGAGCCCCTGAAGCTTTTCGCCCATCTTCATCACCTGAACAAGGGTTCCAAATCCATCCACTATCAAATTTATCCGTTAAGTATTTGGATCGTGGAAAAATCCTTTCAAGATCTTATTTCACATAAAATCCTTGGAATTTCAGACACTCCGCACAAATGTTTTATGAAAATTGTATTAAATACACTTTGACAGGGTATGATTTAATTGTTTTTGTGAATGAATTATTTTATGGTGAGAATTCAATATTTTCCAGACAAATTTAAACATGTTTTCACAATTTGAACTTATTGTATGAAATAGGCGGTCAACTACATTTAAATGAATCATTAAAAAAATGAATGACTTACTTTATTATTAAAATAAAATTACTTTGTATTTTACTTCATTGCCTATTAAGAATATAGTTGATTCTGTATTGTCCGTTAATTATAACGCTCATGAAAAAGTATATATGACAATTTTATTGTCAAAGTAAACCATGACACACTTCGCTGTTTCATTTATTCTAATTTGGATTTGTCTTGATTTTCTTGATCCATACCTGTTCCTTGGTTTCCTCCAAGGACATTCTCTCTTCGATCTCCTTGGTCCTCTTCCTTTCCTCCTCCTCCTTCATCTTCTGCTCCATCATCTTGTCCACTTCCTCCTCCTCTGGAAGAAAAAAAAAACAAAAAAACATCCAGAAGGTCACGTCAGCGATGTGTGTGCTGAAGTAAAGCCGGCCGGGAGTGGGCGGGCGGGGTCTCACCTTGTCGCTTGCGCTCTCTTTCCCTCATGATGTGCTTGTGGAGGGCTCGGGCCATCGCGTTTGACAGCTTGGGTCTCTCCAGCAAGGCGGGCATGCTGACGGGCAGTGGAGGGGCCAGCTTAAAAACAAACAGCACATCTTCATGGATTTTGTTTTCTAATTATATTCATCAAAATTGAAAATGTATTCGGTGGGATAGATGATGTTTATTTTTTCTCCATCTGTTTCCTCTTTACATTTTTTAAAGAAAATGCAAATATAGTGGCAGCTTATCTTCGGTCTGAGTATATATTTCTAGCGCAGTTATTTTACTACAATACATTTCCTTTTAGTCTGAACTGTTATTCTGTTATTATAACAGGAACAATTCTGTATAACTGTAGTGGAAGGTTATTTTATAATGTATAATATGTGGTAAAAAGTACTACATTTTTAATACTGTGGCATCTTATTTCCTCAAATATATATTATTTTAAATTAAATATTCGTTTTCCCAATAGCACACTTATTTATTCAGAAATTTTTAGTTCCACTAAATGAAATAAGATTTGTAACCTAATGTCAATTTTACAACATAAAAATAAATATTTTCAAACTTTCCTGGGAATTGTTTAGAACTATGTGGGGTAAAAAAAAAATTTACAAAGAATATATAATTGCAGCGTGCCAGTCTACGGCCGCTAACAATAAAACAAATGTTTTGGTTACTTTTATCATGAACTTGTTACTGAATTTCATCATTAATATGGTTCTTTTACTCCTGCCAAATAAATTCGAGTGACATGATAGGCGCCCAAAATATATTGTATTATTATTGTTATTACAGATAATAAAACCTGTAAAACTAGCTTGTAGTTAAATAGTAGTCGAGGGAAGGCCCACACGCCAGACCAGCAAGCTGCTCGGTTAGCCTTGCATCAGCGAAGAAAGCTGCAGTTACATGTGCATATATATAATAACGTATTAATGCGAAACCGCGACTGAAATTGTGCACCTGTAAGAAAGTGCACACAGCATTTGACGTCGCGCCACATCCCTAAATGCTACAAAACGGAAGCAGTTAGCTTGACGCAGCTACCTAGCTAGCGGCGTCATTTGGCCGGCGCGGGGATCGTGGGGGGAAAAAAAAAAGTCCGAAACGCTTACTTTTGACGTCGTGCGTGTCTTGGAACGTGAGATCAGTTGAAGAAATAAATATCTGTCAATCTTAATTACAAACTTGTATTTTATACAAAAGACGGCAAAATTTCTGCACTACGAAAACAGGGCAGTGATGCTAATGATGCCGAAGACGCACTTCTGTTGTCCGATGCATTCTGGGGAAATTGACTTTTCTTCAGGCAACGATTTCTCTCGCGAGATTGGCGTTCGTGGGCAAGTTTACGTCAGGTTTCAAATACATGTACAGTAATTAGAGCAATGACGGTACATCGAGAATTTTTTTTAAGATGCCTTTTTTTTAAATGGTTTTACGGCCTCCCATGCGTGACACCAGCCACGTAAAAGTGCCATTTTCAAAAAGCTACTGATTTACAATTTTAGACATTCATAGTAAAGGCAATCCCAATGGACATGTTAGGAATGAACACAAGAGACACAAATAACTTTTTGAGCACATTTTATAATTTTATGTTCACGAGTGGAGAGAAAGCGTCAGTGATACAGCTCTATAGAGTTCTTAAAAAAACAAAAAAAAAAAACAATTGCACTCAGCTTCACGATACGGTAATTAAAGCCATCTAAAATTAACAATAACCACAATGAATCATAGTCAACATAATAGTTCCATAGCAGTGGGGGGATAAGAAATGGAGGCCGATAGATACAACGTGAGACTGACTAAGGGAGAAGTTGAAGGGAACAAGGACGGTGAAAGTGCATCTGACGCCTTTTGCTCTGTGAACTCCAAGCTGCTGAGCTAGATTAAATATTTCCAAAGGATGGATGTACGCGTCATGGGAAGGCGGTGGAGAAGCGACAGAGCGGGGATCACATTTCCCTTTGGCTGCTCCCATACACGCTCTCATCACTGTAGGCAATGTAGAGGAAAAAATCCTCTTCATGGTGCTCCTACGGTGACAAAAATAGAAAGAGAGATGTAAATAAACCACAGTGGCATCGAGAATCGGAAACAGAGCAAGCGATGGGCTCACCTGGTACAATAGTCCCATAGTGGCCGAGGTGGGTGGAATGACGTTGTTTACAAAGAAGAAGAGTGCATCCTCAGCTCGCAAGTGGATTCGTTTTCGGATGAGGAAATAGAACTGGCCCACTGGATTTAGAAAAAGGACAAAAATGTGAAAATCACATTTAATTATGAATGCCACCGGGTAGAAGCTTAAATACGTCTCGTCACCTGTCAGGTCGGAGGGGACGAGATACTTCTTCTTGTCCAGATCACCTATTCTTGCTTTGGGCGCTTTCTCCACAATTACCTGGAAATTACAATGTTTTATTAAAACAAAATAAGAAATCAATTAATTATCATTGTGCATGTATTCATGACCATAAAAATTATTCATGATACATGGGCAAATATTTGGGTTCATCTTTTGAAATGATCCTGAATATTTATTTATTCATCATTAATACCCAGCAAGCCAATTATTTGCTTAAATATAAAATTACTACTGTGTGTGTCAAATAGGTTCATTTCCACCCAAAAAAAAAAATGGTTTTTAATGTAGAATTGACCAACTGTTAAATGAAATACAAACAAATTGTTTTAATAATTTCGTTTTTTTTATTGTACCCCATATAACTAAACAAGTGTTTCATTAAATAAGCAAAAGACTTATGTATAATCGTTTTGTGGCATTCTTTTTATGAATTGAATTCTAATTAAACGAGTTTAATATTTTTTTTAATCACATTTATTACAAACCAATGACGCAATTAGTAGGTGAGCTAACTAAATAAATCTATTTGTGCTGCTAAATGCGGAAGCTTTTCACTACGACGTTCAAGTGAAAGCTAGCGGCCTGTTGCTGCCCAACGAGGCGGTGTTTTCGTCAACACCCCCGCGCATTCGGCTTCATTTTCAGCACATCAGTAGAACAAGCGCAATGAAATCCACGAATTCGGCCAACAGAAAGTCGTGTTACAATAGCTCAAGATAGCCAGGTTCCTAGTTAGCCTCTAACGTTAGCCGACTACTCACGGGAACCCTGTCAGGGTACTTCTTCCGAATCTTCTCGCCTTCGGAACGCCTTTTCTCAAAGGGATGCTCTTCTTTATACTGGAACTTCATCGTTACGAGAGATGACAGACGGCGAGTCAGTCGGTCGCTCGTTCCGGGTTCGTGGGGAAAGAAAATTGCTGACAAACCGACCACGAGAACAACAAACGATGCTAAAGTGGCTAGTTATGGCGCGCGGAGGGATATACAATAACAACGTGACGTAAGAAGCTACATCCACGTACAAATCACATCGACGTATGATGGGAATTCGGTCGGTGTATTACAACATCCCCTTTGCCGAATGGCGACATAGCTCAAGTCGAGTGTGGGTGTGTGCGTGTGTGTGTCATTTTGTGGGAGAGGTTGGTGGGCGGACTACTTTATTTTGATCATACGCCGCGCCTGACTACGTAGGAACAGAGTGGTGATTCGGCCGCTGCCCTTGTCATGTGACACTGCGGTTCGGCTGACTTCCGCTCTGAACTCGAAGCGTCACGGCAAAGCGCCCCTTTCAAAAGCAAAATCGTCAAAAATCAGGATCTTGCACCTAATCATTATCCCTGTGTCAGTTACTAGACTATACTGGGATGCTTGAATGGAATATAACCCCAAATATTTAACAAGAAAAACCCTTTGAAATCTGAAAATTCAGAGTGACAATGAAAAAAGAATCACCTCCTTGTCAAATCTAATCTTGGGTTGGATTTCAGAACAAAGGTCTTTAGTAAACTAGAAATAGGAACAGCAAATTTCGTGACATTTTAAATAATCCCAATTATTTATAAATCACATTGATAGATTGAGTTTATTAAAAATTCATAATGCAATAATTTACAACGATTGATAAAGCTAGGTGAAAATAAAACCATACAGTACTTAAAAAGTCTATCTAAAAGAAATTAAAAGAAAGAATTGTTGCAGGTAAAGTCAGTGATGGTCAGCATCTCTCAATTACGTCAAAGGTGGTCGGATTCTGCTACAGTTCATTCCCACATTCGGGATTTCTCACTAATCAGTGGGGAAGTTTTCTTCCTGAACACTTTGAAGGACTTTAAGCGAGCACTCCAGCCCATTCATCATGACCATCACCGCTATCAAAATTCTCTGTGAAAAATAAAAGCCATGGACACAACATTTTTTTTAAAAAGTGACAATTTCTATAAACACATTACGGGCTGCTGCTGACAAACATGACATTGCGTCAGTAGGATAAAACTAACCTGGGTCACGATAGACTAAAACCAGTTCTCATTTCCTCCTAGTGGGTGAACGATCCAATGCTTGGTAAATTCTGCTTTATTACAATCATTGTCAATTGGTGAATTTGTAACAAATCAAAGCAGTTCACACTTAAAAGAGGAAGTTGTGGTTATTGTTTTCTTTATTATGATATCATGACTTGCAAAAGTGACCTTGGTCCAGCTGGAAGGAACACACTAACGCACGCACGCACTCAGTGCACACACACAGAAGAAGAGAGGAAATCCTGGGAAGCAAGGTTGCCGGTTGTTTAAAAGAAGTCCAGGTCATCCGGAGCGTCCAGGTCTCTGTATTCGATGATGGAGCGCGGGTCTCCTCGCATACCCCTACGCACACACACACACACACGCACAGAATTCCACAAAGTGTATACCAACATCGACGCTCGGTCTCATTGTTTTTCCTTTACCTGTTGTTTGGATGTTTGCCCGGGAAGCCCATGTTGCCCCTGAAATTGTCATAGTGACCGCGGCCGGCCCCAAACTGGTTGGCTGGGTAAGGGGGAGCACTGGGGAAGGCGGGCAGCAGAGGCCTGATGCCGGGCGGGTATCCCAGAAGGCTTTGCTGTTGAGGCGACTGAGCGGGAAAGCTGGCGGGCGGAGCTAGAGGAAGGAACGCAAACGCGGGCTCAGGGAACCGCGTGTTGTCAGTGCTGAGCTTACCTTTCACCGAGGGGGCCGAGGGAACTTGTTCTAGGGAAACGCCCATTTCTTGGCGTCGCTTGGGACTCAAATCTTCTCTCCAAACTTCTATTTTCGAGCTTACCTTGAGCTGGGGGCGGCGGGGGCTTGTTCTCAGGCAGCGCCGGTCTTTTGGCGTCCATCAGGTAGTTGTTAAAGTAGTCCACTTCCTGTCTGACGGCGTCCACCTTGTCGCCGTGTTTGTTGAGTATGTGTTTGCGGACAAACTCGGGTGCCTTAAACTTCTTGCCGCTCAGAGGACACAGCCACTTGTCTTTGCTGAGCTCCTGAGTATTGGCCGCCAGGAACTTCTCCACCTGCGTGCACCAAAATAGATGTCGTCAATTCTCGCGTACAAGATCATGCGATTGTGGATGGCGGAAGGGCAGCTCAAAGTCTCACTTCCTGTTCCGGGTCTTTCCTTCCCAGGCGCGCGGCATCGTCTGCACTCAACACTTCGGGCGGACTCAGCAGAGGAGCCAGACGCTCCTCGCACATCTTCAGGTGTTCAGTCACTGGCCGACCATAACAAAGTACGTCACAGCGGGTTCAGCCACGCGGGTATGTGTGTGTCACAGTTAGAATAGTTTTTCATTTTTCATTGTAGTTCATTTTCATTTTTTTTTTTTAAACATTAGCTTAGTTTGACAAAGTAGGTTTATTTGTATTTTTTCGAAAAAGCGTCAATTTAGTTGAGTTTGTATTAGTTTCAGCATTAGATTTAGTTTTTATATGTGTGTATTTGTATGCGGTACTGTCTACCTTCGGTCGCAGTGATCTTGGCCACAGGCAAAGGCCCTCGCACATGGATCAGTCCACAGCGATGAGGCATGTGGTCCTCGGCGGGGTACTGGCAGAAGTTGTAATAGTCCAGCGAGTGGACCACACGCAAGTAGATCAGCAGTGTGTCCAGCACCTGCACATACACAAACGCATATGCAATACCGCACAAAGAAAGCACACAAAGAAAAAGCTGCTCCCACCTTTAACAAGGTTTTATCCGTCTCCACTGTAACCTCGGAGGAGGCGGTGTCTTTGGCGTCGCCCGCCTCACCGCCCGTCAGCTCCTCCTCTTCGGCACTCACCTCCTCAATGAGGTAATCGGTGATGTTCTTCAAGACAGGGTTGGTGTTCATCTGCGGTGGCGCATTCAGACATTAATTGAGAGTCAAACAGGAAGTGACGTGGGAGGGACAACAGGAATCCGCACCTGTTCCTGCCAAAGCTCCGCCCTTTGGTCCAGCGTATGCACCAGCCTGGCGGCCAGGCGGACGTCGTTCCTGGCCACGGGTTTGTGCTGAGTCAGCCCGTTGACGCTGCGGACGCGCCGACACAAGTCGCGGTTGACCACCGGAGACAGCTCGCAGTCTCGGAGCTGCAGGGGGCCGCATAGGATGGGACCGGATGAGAGGAGACGGCACGGGAGGAGGTGACGTCAAGAACGCGGGATGACGGTTACCCGAATATTCTGCAAGTTCCAGCAGGTCTCCTTGATGTTGACGCCGCGGTCGAACGTCAGCCAGCACCGTCGGAAGAACCTGACACACGTTTGTACTGTGATGCGCCACTGCCACATTTGACGATTGCATGCGTTGGTACTCACCCCCTCTCTGGCTGAGGGTCTGACAGCGCCACCCGCAGAAAGCCCGAGTACCTGCGACACATCTTCAAACACGGAGGGGGGTGAAAGCATGTTTAGGGGCAGGAGAAGATGCCTGCGGGGGATGAGAGGTGGCACTCACTGCAGCGATCTCTTCTTTGGAGGCGTCTGGCGGGACGCTCCTGATGAAGAGTGAGGTGGTGAGGTGCAGCGGCCGGGGAACGGCCGGCAACGCGGGCTCCTTCTCGCCGTCGGAGTGCGAGGAGTCGGAGGCCGAGCCTTCGCCGCTGTCAGCCGACATGCTGCGCTTCCTCTTTCGGCCTTTCTTGGCCTCCTTTTCTTCCTTCTGCTCCTTCTCCTCCTCTTCCTCGTCCTCGTCTTCCCCATTGTGCTTGGCGTCCTCATCCTTCTGAGGCGTGAAATCGTCAGCGCCATTTACTCGTATTTTAATTCTGCAAAATTGTATTCTCACCTCACTTCGGGTCTTCCCCGCCTCGCCGCCAGCCGGCTCCTTACTCGGACTCGCCACCGAATTGCCTCCACCGCCGCTGGCGTGCTCCCCGCTGGGCTCGAGCACCTTCAGGTCCAAGTCTGTGCCGCCCTCCATTTTGATGACGGCTGTGGACAAGAACCAAAGTTATGAGGACTCACCCACGTGCAACCCCCTGCCTCTAGTTAACGCAAACTAATACAATCACTCAATCAAAAACTGACAGAACGTTTGTATTTCACGAAAACTAGGGAACTAAATGAAATTACATTTTGCGTTCACAAAACGAAGGAAAAGTTACTTGAATTATACAGAAACATTTCATTTTCCTCTTTGTCAGTTCTTTGCCAATTAATGTAATACATGAAATCGACCACTGGCGTTGATTTGAAATGAATTTACTTCGGTATCACAGCACTGCCGTTAGTCGGAAGAAGGAAGGTCGAACACACGTGTGCGAGTTGTGGTCCTTTCACTGTGTGTCGCCTCGAGGCGAAGACCCATCTCGCGGCAGCCAATAAAAAAGCACCACCAGATGACGGTGCTCCTACGCAACAGCTATGCTTACGGCTTGTGCGTTTGAATCAGCGCGAAACACGATCCAGGGTGCTAAGTGCTCTCCTTTTTTTGGTTCATATGTGAAAAAAAAAATTACTAAAGAAAATAATACACTTGTTAAAAATACAATAAAAAAAATAATATCCTTACTCTAAAAACTAACTGAAAAAAAGACAATTAAAAATGAAATAAAAACGAATAAATACAAATTCCAAAGCTCATAAAATCCTCACCTGCGTCCAGCACTTTGATGATGGCAGTGGTGTGCTCCATGTCCAACGACATATCCTCCAGCCACTTGTTGTCCCACAGAAAGAGAAACACGTCCAGACGGTGTTTGAGAGCGGCCAAGGACTCCGCCTTCCGGGCTGTGATGTCTTCAGGGTGGTACTTGGAGCGGAACCACTCCTCCTCTTTGTGCTGGACGAAGAAGTCCTGCAGCTGCTGGCGTCGGAAGTCCACTTTGTACTGATTGTAGCGCTTCACCGCCTCCGTCTCATCAACGCTGTCCTCTGTGTTTAGTAGGAAGTCCTGTGCAACACACGCTAGAGCTTAGGTCACACGAATAACTGGCCAAATTATTTTCAATCCTTTTTTTTTTTTTTTCGTCATGCCCTGACCGGTTGCCTCACTCACCTTGAAACTCCTCATGGTCGGGGGTCCCGGGGGCGGCAGGTCAGGATCGACCATCGCCAACCTGAGGGAAGGCAAAGGTGCGTCTGTCATGCCGCCGACCATGCGAGCGTGTCCGTGTACAAACCTGCCCTGAAGTGGGTGAGCTCCATGATGCATGGGCAGTTGGGGGATGTCTGGCGGCCAGCCCTGAGGTCCCACCCTTGGGAACAGAGCTCCGCCTCCTCCAAAGGGCTGCTCGAAGCGGTATGGCTCACCCCGGTGGTCATCCCTGACAAAACCGTGATACCCTGAGCTGCGATGCGTCAAGATCTGCGCGAGCGAGACACGGGCCACCACTCACCAGTCTCTCCTCATGCGCTTGTGCTGAGGGCTCATATGTCTTGGCGGCGAAAACCTCTCTCTGCGACCGCGATCGTAGTCCCGTCTTCTCTCTCTGCCGCGCTCCCAGTCCCTGAGTGTGCACGTTTACTCGTCACATGAGCCATCCAGACATATTCCATCCACTTTTGGGTTGAGTGAATATTCAAACTCAGGACTGTGCTAACCAATACTCCAGCATGCTCCCATATGTGACCACTTGATTAAAAAACACACATATACAGATTATATGTATTTTTTAAAATTTCACCTGTCTGGCCAGTCATCGCGGCGCCTCTCTTCTCGCTCGCGAGATCGCTCCATGTCACTTCGCTCTCTTCGGAACTTGTCTCGCCGCCTCCTGTCGAATTCATCATCGCTGTCCCCCATTGGTCAGCACACATATGCACTCTTTGGTCTCTTGGGACTTACTAGCTTCTGCTGGACTGTTACAGAAAAGTGCAAGAAAAAAATCCCAGCGCTTTATTTGTCAGTTAGCAGGCTACTTCCCGGTTCTTGGAGGATGTTCCACTAGTGTACAATTAGCCTGCGTATCCTCCTGTTGCCATTCATGCAATATAATCATAGCGTTGTGTTCAAATAAACCGGCTCAGATTTCACACTCGGTAAATACAGTTTAAAAGGGCACGACATCATCATTAACTCAGCAAATACATTTGTTACTGATATAAAATTATGTACATTGGCACAAAAACGGTTGGGGGGCGCTGCAGTAGTGGTGGCCGAAGACCTTTGCACAATAGTGTCCAGAACTAAATTAAAACATGCATGCATACAGACTCGGTCTGCCTACAGTGGACACATGCTTTCAGACATACGAGCCACCAGATAAAATCACTTGCTTGTATGCGTGGGCGCCTGTTTCTCGTTATTAACGAGCTAAAGTATACAACATAAATTGTAAAATGAATTTTTTCGTATGATATAGTACATTGCTGGAATCCTAAGTTTTTATTAGCGGCTAACAGCTAAGGCTCGCTCGACGTTAGCCTTAAGCGCGGCTAGTTAGCTTCACTCTCGCCCACTGCATTCAGGACAAGGATTTTTGACCGTATTTAACAAAATGATGCTTACGGGTTTGTAGCATATATATTTTTGTTATTGCTGCACAGTTTACCTGAAAAGGTTGCGAACGAAAACAAGGAGACCAGCTCACACACAACAACGGTCCCGCCGCCACAACGACCAATCACGACAGCCTACCAGGCCCAAGTTGCCCTCTAGTGCCCTGGAGGGACAAAAAAAACAATAACTGCCTTGAGATGCACTTTTTGTGTTCGACAAATTAAAAAGGTTTAACTTTTTACTTCTGAGGCTTTCGATGTGATGTTGGTCCATTTCCTCGTTGAGACAAATCTTATTTAACGCGTGTACGCACCAGTCCACACGGTGGCGATAGAGGCGCATGAAACGAGCCGTTTCGTTTTACGAAAGAACCACAAGACGTCACGCCAAGAAGAAAACAACATGGCGACACTGGTTGCTAGGCTACAGAAGCTTTCGCCGTAGTGTTTTTGTGGCGTATCTGAGTGCGTTTCGATTGGGAATTATATTTTACTACATTTTTGCATTGTTTTCTTTACATTGCATTGTTTCTATGAGACAGGAGACGCCGCTTAAGGACAGCTGTGTCTGGAAAACCGTCTTGGGAAATCTCTCAATTTGGACACAAGAAGCCAATTTTTCGCTGATGCTCGGTGGCTAACGTTAGCATGTAAGCTATGTAACGATGACACACGTTAAATAAGAATGGGAACAGGAATTTAAATGTCTGGTAAATGTAAGTTACTGTGAAAACTATGCCTTCCTAACACGTGTTAAAGTTTGATTCAACCCAAGTTAACACTGAAAGTATAAAGCTGAATGACATGCAAAATCATGCGAATTCAACATACGTGGTGCCTTGGTCAAATAAGACGTTCAGTATATGACCACGTGAGCTTTGATGCCAAACGACCATGTGCTCTGTATGTTGTTATTGTTGTTCAATCTTCTTGAATCTTGTCTTAGTTGTTCATGGAGCGAGCCGACCGTCGACTTGTGAAGAACCAACCATACGACGAGAGCGTGGAAGTCAGCGACTCGGCGGAGGAGGCGAGCATCCGCGGCCAGGTAACAAGGCTCAGCCGCCCGCATCCTCACGTGCCTGGGCACCTGTCACTTATTTGTCCTTTTGCAGGCTGAGCGTGGGAGAAACAGGAGGGGGCGCAGCCTGTTGTCAGGCAACAACAGCAGCAGTGACGAGATGGACGAAGACCCCGCGCCTCCAAGGGCCAAAGGGCCAATAAGCAGGCAGCCCGGGGTTACCCCCAACGAGGAAGAAGATGAGGACGAGGAGGATGAGTCAGAGGAATCGGACGACGACGATGATGACGAAGATACCGATGATGACGAAGATACCGACGAGGCTCCCGAGGGCGCGTACGACGCGGCTGACTACGCCAACTTGCCTGTCAGCACCGAGATCAAAGATCTATTCCAGTACATCATGCGGTGAGTTTGGAGTGATGTCTGTATGGCAGGGACACCACCCACCAACAGGCCAACTGATATTTAGTGACACTGATGACTACTGGCTACTGACATTGACTTATTAACTTATTTACTGACTAAAGGCATTGTCAAACAATACGATTTTTGTGTCGTTCACGATGGTCGTGCTGTCAGATTACCAGATAAATATCGTTCAGTGTCTTGGACCGGACGCGATGCGACACAAAACGACTAATTGTTAAGTATGTGACATTACATAGGCTTGGACATGTCAAGATAACTCAAAATAAAGCTATGAGACACTACTTTTGTCTGCGACATGTCTGTCGGCTCAAAATCGGGCTATATTCTTCTAGTCTGACGTCAGCATAAGACTGACTGACTGCCTGACACTAAGTAACTAATACTGACTGACTGTTTGACCCTGACTAATACTTATTGGCACTGGCTGATTGACAAAACTAAGCGTGGTCTTTGCTAGGTACTCTCCTAAATCCATCGTGCTAGAACACAGCCTAAGACCCTTCATCCCAGACTTCATCCCGGCCGTGGGTGACATTGACGCCTTCCTTAAGGTAGGTTCTTCCTTGCTGCTCCACTTGAACCCAAGTCAAATAATCAACAGCCTGTTCCCCCTGCGGTGTACAGGTGCCAAGGCCGGACGGCAAAGCGGACGGGCTGGGCCTTCTGGTTCTGGACGAGCCCAGCATCAAGCAGTCTGACCCCACAGTCTTGTCACTGTGGTTGTCCGAGGAGACCAAGCAACACGCCACCAGCGAGGTACAAAAACCCTACCGAGCCAAGTTCAACTAACAATATCCAATTTTAGCTGCCTTCACATATTAATTAATTAACAGTCCGCATCTCTAGTGAGTATGATGTTTCAAAAATGTCATGTTGTGAGATAATATTGATTAGTCACGTGTCTCCCAGCTGAAAGTGACCAGTGTGTCCAGTCCTCAGTCCAACCCTCGCGCTGTGGACAGCTGGGTAGAGAGCATCGGCGCCCTACACCGCTCCAAGGCGGCGGCCAGCGTGCAGTACGCCCGCGCCATGCCCGACATCGACGCCCTCATGCAAGAGTGGCCGCCGGAGGTTGAGGAGACGTTAGGGCGCGTGCGCCTGCCCCCCGCCCGCCTCGGCTGCAGCCTGCCACAGTACTGCGACATTGTGTGCGCACTGCTGGACGTCCCCGTATACTGCAGCCGTATCCAAGCGCTGCACCTGCTCTTCAGCCTCTTTCTTGAGTTCAGAGATTCGCAGCACTTTGCGCGAACTTGACTCTGTCCTCCATGCCACGTGCATGATGATATTTTATCATGTCTCCTTTCCACATTCAAGTGTGCCTGGACCAATAACTTCCCTTCCCAACCCAGGCTGAAGTTGGCGTCGCCCCAAGTCTCTCAGTCAAGATCACGTCAATGCTCAACACCATGGACACAGTAGGCACCAGGTAACCAATAAAGACCACATGAGTAGCCTGCGGGCCTGTCCTGAAAATAGTTCACCAATGATGGAACACTGTGATTTCCTAGGAATGTTGTGAAAGTGACTGTTGAAAATAAAAACAATTGCAGATATTTATAGAATGTTGCATGTTGAATTTTACGTTTCCTTCCTTGTGAAGTCATTGATGATGGTCATTGTAAAAAAATATATATATATCTTTTACTGGATCAGTGTCTTCACATTGGTACTATCATTAAATATTAACAAAAGCTTGTAATTAAAGGCAGGGCTTTGGCACCATCTTGTGGCAGAATTAAGATGGTATGTTATTGTTTTCCTTTGTTATATACACATATTTATATTTTAATAATTTGTATTCTTCAGAAGGACCAATAAATGGTTGGATTTAAAAATATGTTTTCTTGCCCTGAATTATTTGGTGTACAATACTTGTATGTCTGAATTAATCTCCCAGCAGTTGCTTTTGAACCTCATTGACGCATGCGCACTCGCAATGTTGCTTAACAATTTCCACTTCTCCCCAATTTCGTATAGCCCTCGAGGGTGTGAGTGTGTCCCAATTTTTCGGTGTACTCTCGCCCGGCATCCATAACTCATCAGCACATTACCCACAAGTCACTCACAAAACGGCAAAACTGGTGGTCAATTTTCCACGTTCAGGAAGAATCCCTGTGCCTAAAAGAATTACCGGTTTTTCAGGTGAACATGTCGACCTATTACTCTTTCATAAACTACACTGTAACATTACAATACTATATAACGTCACCTATGTGTTTTGTCCACGTGTGGCTGCCGTACTTAGCGAACTTCTGCGCATGTGCGATTAATTGCGTAGGGCATGTAAATAATGGAGCCAAAGCTGCCATTGACTGAAAGCGGGAAGTTGAGTTTTTACCGTACTACTTGTTTACTGGAATTTTAATAACATTTCTATCTGCAAAATTAGCAAAACAATACCCGGTCATGCCATGTTTGATGATGCATATCCAACACAGTGGCGCAAATCCATGACGTAAAACCCACTGTCCCGATTCTGCAAATTTCACACGTTTGTAACCTGCGCTCTCGAACACTTACGTGCACTTAAATTACGTGTCGACTTCAATGAGGACCGTAGAGTGTTGTGTGGGTGTTGGGATTGGGTCAACCTGGTGGCATTTGAAGCATGGCGGCACCCGACTGCATCTTACGCCGAACTCTGGCGCGGTCCAGAACCGCTAAAAATCAGGTTTGTTGTTATCTAATTTCTTGTTGTCGTTTGTGAAATGAATAAAGAGAAAAAGTGAATGTGCAAGTGAATGGTAACACTTAACGTTATTTTCGATACAAAGAAATTGATTCTTGAACAATTTATTACACAAAGCGTTTCATTTATTGTGGTTTTGACCAACTACTGTAAAAGGTAGTCCTGAAACATGTTGCCAATTACTCTGTTTAGTTTAAGGTGTTTAGTTCACACAAGGCCTTTTAGAGGAAGCTTTTTCCCTTAATTAAGAGGAAGGGGTCATCTTTTTTAGGTGAGGCATTTGTTTCACTCGATTATTTGGGGCACGGTGTTTATTGAAGTGGTTGAAATAGGATGAGGCCAAGCATTGAAAAAGAAAAAAATAAACCAGACGTAAGTTAAGGTCCCACTGTATCATTAAATTGTGTCTTCAGCGCTCTCAAGTGGTCTGTAGGGAGACGCTCTACCTGTTGGACGTGTTGCGCTACACCAGAGACGAGGGTTCTTCCGTCTACTTCCCACACACCATCTTCTCTGGTGAGTACGCCGCCATCTTCTGGGCACTCTTGTTGACCTCCGACCTCGAAATGCTTCCGTGTCCAGGCGACAACCTTTACGACGTTACGCTGAGTGATGGCGACTGCCGCCTGCGCGTCACTCTGGATCCCAGACTCAACGGGCTGGTGGAGAAGAACGTATTGCGGCAGGGGACTGCCGTGCGAAACGCCACCCTCGCCCCTGCCATGACGGGCTTGGCAGATCGCACAGAGGACGAAAGGTACCTGCTTGACTTGCGAAGGGGCGGAGGATTTCCAGTAAATTTTAATCGTTTGTTTATATAGCTCTGACAACACTTTCTGAGCACGGACAGGGGCGGGGGTGGGGGTGGAGAAGAGGCAATAAAACAGGCCAAGCACTTATCTGTCAACCTTCATCTATGCAGCTTCATCATGGTCAGTGTGGAGGTGAGCGCGTTTGAGAGTATCGAGGACTCGCACCAGGACTCCTTGCCCTGGAGTGGCTCGTCCGACGTGTCAGGTGACTGAGCTAAATGGCGCCCCTATGCCGGAATGCCATTGGTTGACATGCGGGTGCTTCAGGTCCTCTGCTGGCCAATCGGAGGGTCTTTCTGCCGCTGTGGAACAACGTGGACTTCTACGGCGACGCCTGGAAGAAGACGGCGCCTCCTCTGGAGGAGGAGGTGACGGGTGGGTGCGACATCTGCGCCATGCAAAAATATCAATACATACATACTTGATTTTTCTCTCTCTCTCCCTCTGTTGCTCTCCTCCTCCTCCCATTTCTCACGCTCTGGCCACAGCTCTCCGTCCCACCATGACTGTCCAAGACCTCAGCCAGGGATTCTTGGCCCGCGAAGTTTGGGCCCTTAGAACCATCCGCCGCCGGCTGATTGTGCGCATCGCGGCCAAGTCACACCTGACGTATTACGGGAGAGCAGACAGTAACTGCGCATGCCCCTATCAGGTTGGATGATGGTGTCACCGTTGCGGGAAGAGAAAACAGCAGCAGCATTTCTCGCGCTTCTGTGTGCAGGCGCTGTTGGAGGCGCACGACTCGTCAGGAAGCGTGTCACTAGTGTTGTGGAACAGCATGTGTGTCGAGTGGTACCGTGTGCTCAAGCCCGGCCACGTCATCAGCCTGAGCCACTTCCGCATCAAGGAACGGTACCAATCAGAAGGGGACAACATCGGTAATTCCGTCCTTCCATTCATCCCTGCATCCTTATCCTTTCTTTCTTGCATCCTTCTATTTGTCGTCATTCTGGCTTTCCTTGCTTCTTGATTTCTTCCTTTCTTCTATTTGCTTTCGTCGTGTCCCCACAGAGATAAGCGTGAACAGCCGGAATCCCGCCTCTCGCATCGCTCTGCTCCCGGAAGCGTCCGTGGCGCCCGACTGCCTGCCGCCGCCGGCGCCCCCCTACAACTTCTGCGACAGGTATGGCCACGCCCACCACGGACATGTTGACGTTTTCGGTGTGTAAATGCACACCCCACCCCGTTTTTGACTTTGTTGAGCGTGATTAGCTTTGTGACTGCCTTCCGCTTTTCCTGTCCCAGTGAGGAACTTGCGTCTTGCTCTCACGGCGCCCTGTGCGACGTCATC